CTTTCAGAGAGTCAAGAAAGAGCATGTCTGCAGAAATGCAGGTGACAGAAAACATTTTTAGAACAAGGAAGAGCTCCATCACAGGAAACATCTAACTGATGCAATAAAAAAACTCTTCAGTTTGAATTCTGCTTCTCTGAAACATAACACAGAAGCATTCAAAAGCTTCCAGACAGGAGCAACTTACCCCTGTCCTGCATGTTCAGTCACTGTGGTCAGTTCTTTCTTTTTTAGGATGCTAAACTAACGAAAAGGGGGATTGTTCCTGCTGCTAATTCTCTTTCACAACACTCAGGATAATCTTTACTCTAAAACCAAGACCACCTTTCTGCCTCCCCTGCCCTGCAGGCTCCTTTCACTGGATAAGGGCCCTCAGCAAGAAGCAGCTTGTGGGAAGTGCTGGCTTGGTTTGGGAGTGAGCAGGAGGACACAGGAACCCTTCAGGAGCTCAGCTCCCCCTGTGTCACCCTCCCTCACCTCCTTTTCAGAGGCAGCCCTGAGTTCCAGGCAGCACAGAAAGTTACTGCTGGTAAAGGCACCTCTATCCCAAAAGCCAGAAAGGTCATTTTGACTCCACTCACTGTCTCTGTCCTCTGCAGTGGACCAAAGGGAACCTTTATTTCCTTTTTTAGCTCGATATATGAGTTGCAGAGAGAGATGCAATGACAGTAAAGGGGAAAACATGCAGAGCTGCATCACAAACCAATTCATCAGCAAACAGAGCACGCCTGCCTTACAAATTCGCCTGCAGCTCTTGTCTGCTGTGTTATTTTTAAACTGCCTGCAGGTTGCAGATTTTTCAGTGGTCCTTCTCCTACCAACATACACACAGGATTTAGCAAGGCACAACTTTCATTACTATGAATTTAAGTTACCAAAACTCCCAGCACATTAAAATTCATCATCCTTCATCTCTCCACAAACTTCTTGCTGAATTCACAGGAGGACATCTCGTGTCTCCTGCAGCCTGTCTGCATGGCAAGGTCAGTGTAACTCAGCCCTGCATCCCTGATGTTCCCAGCTGCCATTCCTCAGCCTGTGGAATGCACCTTGCAGTTGATGTAGTCAGCGACCCAGGCATCCAGCTACAGACTCTGGCTCGTCTGGAAAAACCCAACTCAGTGAGCCCAGTGCTCAATTTAACAGTGCTGTTATCACCCAGACATGATCACCTCAGCACCAGAGCCGGCTGCTGTAGGAGGGAGGGCTGTGGGTAGCCCAGGGCACTCTCCCATCACACATCCAGCACACCATTCACAGAACTCCCAGCAAACCTGCCCCACTTCTGTGGGAGGCTGGCTGGGATGGAGGCAGGGTCTGACATGTGTAAATGGGAGAGCTTCTATGAGCAGAAAACCTTCACAATCATTGCACAATTCCCACAGAGAGCAGAATTGCAGGAAGAGTGCTCTATTTACGGCACCACAATGTTTTAAAGAAGAAAGCAAGGGGGTGTTTTTCACCACAACTGCTGCTGATGTAAACAGAAGCTGCAGATGCTCAGACTTTCTGAGGGGTCAGACCCTGGAGCCAAATGTAATGAATATTATGGCTTGTTTGCTTCTTCTTTGTTGCCTGGTTGATTCTGCAGCGCAGAGCTGCACTGCAGAGCAGTGCCCAGCACTTTGGAACCTCTCCCCTCCTCTGACTGGGGATGTCTCAGACATTAACCCACTCACACTGCACCACTGTTAGGAGCTCTAGAAATTACCCCAGCTAGCATTGTAAGAACTTGCCCAGCATCATCAGCAGGGGCACAGCCACGTTGGTTTCCACCCCTTCAGCACCCATGGAACAGGTGACGAGTTTGTGATACATGAGGGGTTTCTTTTGGGGCTGAAGCTCCAGCACAGAAGTCTTTGCCCTCAAATGGGTACAGCAAGGAATTTAAAGTGATTTTGGTATAAACAGACAATAAGCATCAGCCAGAGCAAAACCCTGTGGCCCCACAGGGCTGAGGATTGCCTGCTTGTGGGGCAGTGAGGGCCAAGCACAGGCTGGCCTTGCTGTGCTGGGGGTTAACCTGGTGCTCTCTGTGCCCTGATAGCCACTGTCCCTCATCCTCCCACATCACACAGCAAGTGAAGCTGCTGCTCACTTCCCCCTGCTGATTGGGAGAGTCATGGTTTGGCTCTTGGCTGTTTATATTTTGCAGACATCCCCTGTGTAATTGCATGGCCTGGCCCCAGGCTGTCAGGCTCTGGGACAAGTAACCACATTATTCCACAGAACAGTTAGCATAATTAAAATATTGACTGCAGATTAAAAAAATGTGCTGAATGTTTCACAGAGTGGTTGGAGGGTTGGCAAGCCTTGGCAGCTTGTTGGCTGCAGGAACTGGCTGATATTTAGGAGTGCCTTCTCCTCCAGTAGTCACTGCTGTATGTGGGAACTGCTTTTTGTGCTGTCAACTTCTGATCTCCCAAGCAGCCAACCCACAACCAGGAGAAAATGAACTGACTGGAAATGAGGTGCTCTAAGGGCTCTCTTGCGATTCTCATTGCCAGTGAGACCACTTCCTTGTTATTTATGACTTCAGGACATCTGTCTTGCTGTGCCTCTATCTATTTTTATTTGTGTCCATCTCCTCCAATGCACAGTATAGAAACTGCATATGGTGAGAAGAACTGCTTGTACCATATGAGAAACATTAATAAAGTTAAAAAAACCCACAAAAACCTCCGCTGAAACATATGTTTTAGTTGCTATTCCTTCTTTGACACTGGATTTCTACCTGTGTTTAATCTGCCATCAAAGTCTAAGGCATAAAATCCTTGCATTTCCACAACCAAGAGGGCAGAAAGGGAGGGAAGAAGCCCAGCTGGCAGGGCTGGTGGAAACCACAGAAGCACTTATTCCTACAGGGCACTCAGGGAAACCTCAGTGTCCTTGTGATATCCCCCCATTCCCCTTCTTAGGGGAATATCTGGGACCATAAGCATTGCTGGAGACACACAGCTTTGAGTTCAAATGATTTCTTGGCTCTTTGCATAGCCCCTAGCTGGCAAAAACTTAACATGACCTCATGCTGCCAGTATTAAAACGTGTGGGGGATGTCTAACCCACTTTGCAGACACCTACATCCTGAAGGAAACATAGCAGAGTCACTAAATCAGCTTCTGGTTCCATCTTCACTTCCATGCCTGAGAAACTCCTGGCCTGGGAAGAGCAGCAGTTCTCACAAGCAAGGAGCAGGGACAGCTGAGCTGAGCTTGTCCCACTCCACTGCAGCTCCCAGGGACAGGGCTCTGATTCACAGCCTCATCTGCAGCTCTTCTGAGATGAGCTAATTTCGTGAACATTTCTATTTCCACTCAAGAGGTGTCACAAGAAATGACCAAATGCTATTTCCTGAGGCTTTAAAGTGATCATAATAGCAAATTAATAGGAGATCTACTCTGCCATTTTCCATTCTCATTGCTATTGCTGTAATCAAGATCAGCTCTAATTCTTCAAAGCTTATTTCTGTGGTACTTCTCATTTTTGAATACGCTGCTGGGAAAGGAGCAGAATATCTTGGCACTCCAGCTGTGATCTGTGGGCTACTGCCTTCCTTCTGTGTGAGGCTCATTGCTGTTTTCTGCTCTCAACTTAATACTGACCTCTAAACTGTAAATTATAAATATCACCTTATGTAGGCACCATGCTTTTAAAGGCAAAAAAAAATATTACTACTTTAAATCTCTTGTAAATTAAGCCCCCAGATAAACTCAGTGGAATGAGAAAAAAAGATGCTCTAAATTCAATACAAAGAAAGAGAATTTCACTGGGCATGCATGATGTGTGTGGGGAATTGTTACAGCTTTTCTCTGCTCTGATAGTTCACACAGCCAAGTTTTTAGTTTGTCTCCACTGAATGATTCATCTCTATTACCAGCATTTTGAAAATTAAATGGAAGAGGAGGAATGTGTTCATTCCCCTGCTGTGTTTAATAATCTTCCAAAAATTGTTTCCTGTTTACTTGGAAATCCCAACCTCCATGCTGTGATTTAGGCATTTTCACCCTGTTAACTTAAAAACAAAGCTAGAAGATGCTGGATATGTATGATCTTGCAGTCATAAAGCAATTTATGATAAATGTTGTTGTTCAAGAGAAAAATTACTTGGAAATGTACATATGTTCATTGCTTCACATTCCTGATTTAAGTCATAACTGGTAGTTGGGAAAAGAAATACAAATTGTTGCTCAGTTTTTATTTCTGTAACAGGTCTGATGGCAGCTTCTCTTTCAACAATTACTGTACTGGTGCTCAAATACAAATCTCAGTAAAGACATCAATAACCCCATTTAGGGGATTGTCCCACTGTCCTCCATGGCACTGGCTGGCACACAACTGTGAATACTCACTGGGTATTGTTTCATGCAACACTTGTCTATAAGCAAAACTCAGGGTGCATTTTCAAGGAAAATTATTAAAAATACCTAAATTGATTTTCCAGCTGAAGCATTATCTCTGAATTCCTGTGGCTTGGCTGGACAAAAGGGAAAGAATTTTCCCCTTAGCTTTCTCAAGGAATAAATTTTCACAGTAGTTTTGAGATTTTATTTACACATATCAAACTCTTCATTTATACAAGATTTGCATTAGCTCACAAAAGTCAGTGTGTTCTGTGTTAGCTCATGTGAAGAGTTCATTTAAAAGCCAGCAATATCCTGTGACCCAGGAGCAGAACTGGAAGCTGGGCATTCCGAAGGGATCTGAGCTCCCTCACGCTTCCTCTCAGCTTTTCATAAAGGTCTGCATTTTTCTAAATGAGCATTACATTTATGTGATTAACTGGAGGCCACGTGAGCCTGATTTACAGATGTGTTAAACTTCCACTGCTCTCGCTAAAGCCATGGGGAGCTCTCAGCTGTCCACATTTCTGGAGGCTGTGACAGCTCCCTGCAGCTTTTGGGAGCACAGTGACACCATTGCCTTGGGGAGCACCTTTGCCTGCCCTTTGCAAGTCAGTGTGAGGTTCTGTCTCACATTTTTTTCCTCTTTCCCCCTCCCAGATGAGATGGAGCAGTCCCCTGCAGTGCGTTCTGACTACCTGGTCTCAGGGATTCGAACTCCACCAGTGAGGAGGAACAGCAAACTGGCAACACTGGGCAGGATCTTCAAACCGTGGAAGTGGCGGAAAAAGAAAAATGAGAAGCTAAAGCAGACATCTGCAGGTAGGCTGAGAACAAGAGAGGGATCTGCACAGCAAAGCTTTCATGGGACATGTTAAAGGTGACCTGAGCCAAACCCAATTCAGAGATTCCAGCATTCAACAGATTAATAATGTTTAAGGCTAGGAGGGGCCCATAAAGGCTGATTTCCTATATAACACAATATAGTACATTTAGAAGAAAAGGTCAAAATATGAGAGTGAAGCACAAGCCTTGCCTCCAGACTGCTTTTCATGGGCTGTCCCTTCTCCACATAGGCTACATTAATGGCCCCGAGTACTGTCACCCCTTTTATTTGGGGTGAAGTTTATATAGGTCACAGTAACATGATGAGAAGTGACAGGAGGGACCTGCAGCATGTGAAATGCCTTCCCTCAGGCAGCTGTCTCTGAGGGGAAGGAGCCCAGCACACAGCACAGCATCCCCTCACTGGTCTTAAGGGATGTCCCAGGAGATCTGTACAGAGACAACCTCACTTGCATTTTCCTAAGATGGGACGCTGCAGTTCCCTCCTCTTGCTCCTGTATCCTGTGGGAGTGTCCCAGTGAAGGACACTGTCCAAGGCAGCCCCAAGGTGCCACAGGAAACAGCAAGAAGGCTCTGAAATCCCCATGACTCTGCACTCAGAGTGATCTGACAGCACCTCACATCATAAACCTCACCTTTACATGTGGTGGTTTTAACAAAGGAAGAGGCACAAACAGCTGACCTATCCATGCTCCCCAAAACAAAATCTTTGCAGTCCTTTCCAAGCACACAGGAGCTGAGACTGGAGGGAATGTCCATGTTGCCTTTCTCACCCCGTTACATGACTGCTCTGTTGGTAACTGCTGCTGTGTTGTGCCACTACTTTGTGCAGTGCTGGAGAAGAAGATGACAACGCGGCAAGGGCGGGATGAACTCATTAAGAAAGGCCTTCTGGAGATGATGGAACAAGGCAAGTAAAAATTCTTAATGTTATTTTTTATCAGAGGCTCTTTCAGGACAGCAGGAAACATATTTGCAAAAGCAGAATAAACAAGGAAAGGAATAAAACCCTTCAATACAAACAGAAGGAAAACTCAGTGTTTGAATTTAAGGCTTGTCATCCTTCAAGCTCCTCCCTGCTGCTATCAATCCACTTCGTTTAGTGTTTGATGCTCTCCCATCTTGAATGCAGCTCTGTCTTCCCTTGGTTTACACGTGGTGCATCTGAACTGGTACGTATGTTTTATGTAATTGCTCTAAACCCAGCTAAATCCTTCTGCCAAGAAATCCAGCTCAAGCTGGATAAATATAAACTTCAACATACAGATGCAGTCAGCCAACATGACCAACCTATGGATCCAAATCCCATCAAATGATCCTAATCTGATATTTTCAGCTGTTCTTCCACTAAACCAAGTTTGTGATGTAACGTGTTACCAGTCTGCCTGCTTTTCATTCCCATGGAAAAGTGAAGCATTTAGTGGGGTCATTTTAAAGCTTTCCTGAGTACAAACCAGAAGTCATGGAAGGAAAATGACAAAGTGTCAGAAACACTCACAGAGGATGTGGTTCTTGTGCTCCAAAGCCCTGACAGATGCTCAAGGGAGACACAGATCTGGGTGACTGTTCTGTGAGATTAACTGAGCTCCCAATGTTAAGGACAACATCCCAATTACCATTTCCACCTAAACAGAGATAAACCCCACAAATCCATCTTTACTTTGAAAACATCATAGCAGAAATACTGTCATGAAAGAGGACTGGCCTTTTGAGTTTGATTAATCTCACAGATAGAAGTTATGTTCTTTGAAAGTAGTAATTGAGTTTCTTTTGTATAAAACAAATACCATGCCAATAAATAACCCATGGGACAATACTCAGTGATGCCATACTGGAGTGAAACCAAGCAAATGAAGAGTCAGAAAAAGAGCATTTTAAACAGGATTATTTTTTTTCATGGGAGAAAAGTAATTTTAATATTTTTTTCTGTTGGATATATTTTAAATTTTATGTTAAATAATCTATCAAACCATCCATTTATTTTAAAATGGAAGTTCTTATAAAACTCATTTTTAATTCCTGTCCATTGAAGTCTTTGTGTCTCTCATAATTCTAGATAATTAGTTGCCCTATTAACATATTAACATTACTGTACATACACGATCTCCATGAGGAACAGGGAATTCCCTATAATCCATGAATTTGGAGACATGCATTTCCCCATCTCTGCAAAAAAACAGTAAAATAGAACTTCTGTAGAGCACATTAAGAGGTAATAATGAAGAATCAATGTCTTGCATGCATAAAGAACGTTTGGGAGGAAAAGGTGATTCCAAGCAGCAAGACCATTTTGACAAAATTAAAATACTTTAAATAAATATAGTCCAGTGAGGTGTGAGGACAAGCTGTACTTTTAACTAGACAGCTGCAAACAGACTGCTTACCTGTCTGCAGGAAAGTTGCCTGGAGCTCCTATAAACATCACACAAATTTCCAGTGCCTCCCTGTGCCCAGAAAGGGAAGAATGGATCACAGTCAGCTGAAGGACATTGCAGCTGCCTGCAAGTTATTTTCTTTACTGAGTGTTGTGAATCTCCAGGGTTATTTTATTATATTAGGAGAAACAGCTTATTAGCTGGAATAAAAAAATTGACCCAAATAATTCTCGGTAAATGATTAGTGCCCTACTTGGACTGAGCTGAAGTGGCAGCAGTTTCAAGGCTAAGTCCTCGTTTATGCAGTTAGGTTGCAATTGTCAAAGCAGCAATACTGTGCTAAAAGAGTAGAGTAAATCCTCAAATCCCTCTATTCCATCAGGGAATCTTCACTTCCAGGGAGCTGATTCCGGCTCACTTTCATAAATAGGGATGATGCTGCAGCCTGAGAAGCCCCATGCATTTGCAGTGGGTCCCACTCAGCCCCATAGCCTGGCCTGTCAGCAGCGTTTGGCAGTGGCCCTGGCTGGGGCCCGTGAGGCTCTGAGCTCTCCTCAGGGCTGGTGCAGATCTGCAGGGCTCTGGGAGCAGCCCAGGGTGGAACTGCACTGTCCTTGTGTGGGTGATAACCTGGCAGGCTATGTCACCCTTTCTTCTCACACTACCCCCAGTCCTGGCTGCCCATTCACTGCGTGGCCTGGGCCACTCTGTCCCCTTCTCTCCTCTTGGCTTTGCTCACACAGGGCAGATGCCAACCTGCCCTTGGAAAACTCCTGAAATGCAGCTTCACTCTGGAGAACCAGCTCAACTCGCTGAGAGATTACATGCTGCAGGGTCTGGCACACAGCGGGGTTAATTCCCAGCAAAATCACAGCCCTGCTCCGGGTTACCTTGGAGTGCTGAGGACTGGTGTTTTCCTTTCCTGTGGATCTAAGGTCTGTGCTTTGTCCTGTCCCCAGACTCTCTCTAAAATACCACTGGCACCCAAAGCAGCACACCCACTTTGATCTAAGCACAAGCTGACCATTGCTGCCCAAGAACATCGCTTTTGTGTCTCCAAAATCCTCCAGCAGGAGCATTTGCCATCCCTGCGCTAGTCACTGCCCCTCCCGGGCCGGCTCTGGAGCAGCCCTGTCTCTGGCTGCAGGGATGGCTCTGTTCCATTGTGCCACAGCTGCCAGAAGCCTTTCCCGAGCATGTGAGGAACGTGCAGAGTTATCTTGAGCACATTTAGGGAGCTCCCACCTCGATGTTTCTCCCCTTTGTGAGCACGAAGCTGATGGGGCTTATCTGTACTTACAGCTCTGGGGAAGGGCTGCCTGTCAGACAACGCGGGCAGTGGTTCATACACCGACGATTATGTACAGGCTGCCTTCACAAATGAGCTCAAATGTAGGCAATGAACTTTTTCCCCCCTCCCCTTCCCTGTATCATAGCAACTGTGCTACTGCAAGGACTATTTTAAGAACAGTAACTTTTCACCAAACGTGATTATGAGGCAGACTGAGTGAGCTCAGTGTGCAAAAATACTGCATCCGTTCTGCAGCATCTCTGGGCCAAAATCTGATACTCTCACCCAAAAGCATGAGAAATTACCCTGCAGATTGTCCAAATAGCATCAAAAAGAGGTAACTGTGAATGTTGCTATTTTAAATCAATGTTCAAGGAACTTGTAATGATATCACTGCAAGAAAACACAGCCCTGTCAGGAGCTTCCAGAAAGGAGTTTCCAGGATTGAGAAATTCAAACTGGGAGGTGAAGGGTGGACAGCAGGAGAGTCCATCAGCATGAAGAACTGGCCAGGGAGGGAAGCGATTGCTTTCTGTGGTTTGCAACAGTGATGTAGATCTTGTAAATTCCAAGGGAGTAAAAGGGTAGTTTGTATTCTGAGGACCTGAATAGGAGAATACTAGAAAAGCTTCAGTCATCAAGATGCGTACAGCTGCAGGGATCACTGGCACAAAAATCTTTCAGAGTAAGCAAAGGGAGCAGTATCTCGGCCTGCATGAGGAGGGATTTGAATTTCTGATCAGCTCAATCACACAGGACACACTTTTCAAAGATGAGTAACTAAAACTGTGCTAAAAACCTGCAGCTTGGTGGGGAATATGAGCAGCCTTTGCAGCACTGCTGGATGGCAGCGAGTTGTGCACAGAGCCTGACACTACCCAGACATGTCAGCCCAACCTGGGAATGTGCTGCACCATGGGCTCTGCTCATGCAAGGAAGGAATTGCCTTCTCCCAGAGACCTCTGCCCATTGCTCATCTCCCCCATAGCAGCTACTTCCAGAGCACAGTGACCATCTGCTGAGGCAGCTGCTTGCCCACCCAAACAGGTGCCTCCTTGAGAAAACTGAGTTTTTGTATCCAGATGAGCTGGTGTGCTCAGGATTTACATTACAAGGTGGTTAACACAGAGATGAGGTGCTGCTCTAAGAGAAGTCTCAGTTCCCTGAGCATGAGCAGCTTTGATACTCTCTCTTCTCAACGGGATAGCAAGGGAGCCTCAGCTTTCACTGCTTATGGTTTAGTTGACATTAAATGGTTTGTTGTTTTAGATACTGAAGGCAAAGCCGGCACTGGTGATGATGCTACCAAGGCGACGCAGAGCGAGGCTCCAGCAGCCGTGTGCCAGGCACTCACCTCAGAGGAGGAGCAGCAGGAGACCACAACAGCAGCCACAACCAACGTGACCTCCTTTGCTGAGGAGCTGCACTTGGATGAGCTGAAAGAAGATGCAGGTATTGGATATAAAACATTTTCAAAAAACTATGAAGCGTTATAAAAACATTTCTGCTAAGGAGTCGAATATCTCAGTGCATCAAAGGGTCAAAGCACCTTGTTCAGCTCAGTCCCACACTAGGTTAGCAATTGGTACTTAATAGCAGTGATTTTTGAGACTTCTACCAAGCTGAGGAATTACACAAAGCTTGGCACAATGGGATTAGTTGAATTATGAGATGATCCAGTCTTGGCATGGTGCCCCTTGGGTATCAGCAGTGGCTGCTGTGAAGATGAAATAAGCTTCTCTTAAAAAGATTTCTTAAACTTCTGTGCCAAGCCTGAATGTGTTTGTCATGGCTAAGGAGAACAATGTCAATACACAGCCCACACTGTCCAGATCATCACTCTGTGCCCAGCATGCTGCAAACACCAGTAAAGCTCAATACCAGGAGTAGAGATCAGCTAAACCAAGCTCCTTTCATGCAGCTCAGCTCCGGTGAGCTCATCCATGAAAACACTTCCTAGGGACTGGAGCAGCCAGGCACAACCCAGGAGCTGGAGGTTCCATTCACTTCCTGACAACCCAGAAATGCAAAGCTGCAGAGATAATGATTTATCCTGGTTTGTGAGGACTGTCATGTACTAATTATGGATCTTCCTGGCCTCTGGTCAATCTTTACCCTTTCTCCATCTTCCCTGGCTGCCTTTTGTTCTCTGTCCCACCTCTTCAGGCTCTGCTTTCTCAGGGGTCCCAGCCCCTAGCTGCTTTCCCTGAGCCCACCCCTGCCTGCTTCACCCTCAGAATGGAAATAATTCCCTCTTCAGATGAGGCAAAACCCTTTCATCTCCATGTTCTTACAACAACCAGATCGAATCTTGGCCAGATTACAGGTTTCTTTTATTCTTTCTCTGCTCTGGAGCATTTAATTCTGTATCACTAACGAAATTTCTTTCTGAACTTTTAATTCTTACCATTGGGACATCCTATCATGGAAAGGTAGCACTAATAAGGTATTTAACCTTATGTCTCTGCATAAACTCATAGTATGATTTACAATTTACTTTACAATATGTTCAAAATCATGTATTGAAGCTTTCAAAATCATCCCAGTTTCTTAGGTCTCTTTCCCTAATCCTCGTTCCTTTTATTACCTCCCTGAAAGAATCTTTCCTGTCTTCTGTATTTATTTTCCTCCATTTTTTGAGGTGTCATTTTCCCAGATTCCTCAAAAAATAACCATGGGATTACATTCTTCTGTCTCCCTAGTCCAATTTGTAGGAAGTCTTTCTACCTCTCCTATTGGTGGCCTCTGGCTTTCAAAAAAAGTTATTGCTGATCTCATCTTTATGTGCTTATTTATCTGTCTGTACATCCTAGTATTCCTGTCTCTAGTGAGTACACCTGAAGGAATTAATTGGGTGGGAAAGCTCTTCCAAACTGTCAGAGTGTGCTGCTAAGTTTATAATAATGTTGAGTTTTTTATAACATTTGCCCTTGGGCTCAATCTAGGCCTAATGCAGTGGGTGCCTTTCCAGAAATTTATATTAATAAGTGACCAGCTAGAAACAAAATGAATGGATTTGCTTTATACCCAATGTGTTCTATGTCATCCTGAGGATGTGGGATAAAGGCCAAGGAGGAGAAAACACAATTTGCAGTCTTCATGTTCATGTTAATACACAGAAGAAGAACAGCCAGGGCACAAAGAGGGCAGTTTTTCCCACCTAACCTTGCCAGTGGGCTTGGGGACAGTCCCAAGGGGAGGATTTCTACCTGGTAATGAGATGGCATTTTGACAAGTGGCACTCCATGAATAATTCTCTGCTCCAGTAGCAGCCAAGTGCCGAGCACTTGGAATACTTTCAGCAGGATAATATTCACTCTGCAGTATGAAATCTGTTAATGGGTTTGTGTGCTCAAGATTCAGATCGGCCTGCCACCACTCCCAGAGCAGGGTGAAGCTCAGGACCAAAAAAGTCTGGCTGGGGCTGGGAGTATTTGGGATCCACCTTTTCTGTATGGAGGTCCCACTGTGGCTGCTCCTCTGCAGCTGTGCCAAGCAGCCCTGCCTGTCCCAGGGACACCCCCTGATTCCAGGGGAGCCACTGCCAGAGAAAGCATTGCTCCTCTCAGGGGAATGCACTCAAATCTGACTAATTTTCCTCTCAAGCTCCTGACATCTACTGGGGCTCTTGATCTTTCTATAATGTAACCCATTAGTGACTCTATTTTTCCCTTCCTCTATTACACACTTTGTCTCCTGTGCATTGGGTACAAACATCCAAATGATGTTACACTGGAACAAGACATTTACCTAGAAGTATTTTTTAAAAACTGATTTCCTTCTATAATTCACATAACTATCCCATACAGCAGCTTTCCTGTCATGACAAATTTCACGAGAACTCATGTTAATGATGCATATTTATTCTTTCCTGTCTCTTCTGAATGATAAATACTCATTCCTCCCCTTCTAGGCACACTCATTAATCTGTTTGTCAACAAATTAAATGCCATTATCTTGCCAATGCTATTGTTTCCAAGTGCCTGAGTGCCTTGGTGCCTCCCCACGCAGCACTCTGAGCACGAGGCTGCTGAATGTTCATTAACACAGAGTTTGAATTCCCAATGAGGCACAAAACTGAGTCAAGAAAAGATTTGTGATGCAGTGAGTGCCACTGCAGCGAGATTTTAGGAGGTGCCCTAGAATGGTTTGGAGGGACAGGTACTCTGTCTGGTTAGACAATCCAGAGTGCCAAAAGGAGTGGGATTTGCCCAGGAGTTGGGACCTCTCTCATGACCCCAGCTCTGGGTCCTCAGCACAGGAAGACATGGACCTGTTGGAGGTCCTGAGGGCACCGAAAGGATCAGAGGGATGGGACACCTCTGCTGAGAGGGCAGTCTGAGTGAGCTGGGGCATCCAGCCTGAAGAAGAGGGAGATCTTGTTCCAGCCTTTCAGTACTGAAAGGGAGCTTATAAAAAAGATGGGGATAAACTTTCTGATAGTACCTGTTGTGGTAGAACACAGGGCAATGTTTTTAAACTGAAAGAAGGAAAATTCAGGCTAAATACAAGATTTTTTTTTTTTTTACAATGAGGGTGGTAAAACCCTGGAGCACACTGCCCAGAGAGGTAATGGATGCTTCATCCCTGGAAAAATTCAAGGTCAGGTTGGATGGGACTCTGAGCAAGCTGACCTCGTTGGAGATATCCCTGCTTATTTCAGAGGATTGGACTAAATATCTTTTAAGGTCCCTTCCAACACAAACTATTCTATGATTCTGTGCTTAGGAGAGTTTTAGATACTGATCTCCCCATTTGGATGAGTGCTTCCCCCCCTCTGGGGTAGGAAAAATAACCCTCATGGCTACTGCTGAGTCCGGAGTGGCTGGAAAAGCAATTTGGAGGGAGCCTGGCTGTGGCTGCGATCAGAGTGAGCCTCAAGCCTCTCAGTGGGTCCCCACACCTGCCAAGGCAGAGATCAGGACATGTAACAGAGTGAAAGCCCAGCAGTGAGGCTCTGTGTGAGTCTGGGCACTGCCAGGGCAGCTGTATCTGAGCAGAATTCAAGGATGCTGATCTTGGACTTCATCACTGAAATTCCACCTGTGTCCTGCTTCAGCTGCATGCCTTTCTGGATCTATTCCCCTGTGCCCTCATCACAGCCTGGTCAATTTGATGAACTGCTCAGTGATTCAGCCTGCACTAACTTTCACAGCTAAGTGCTTTTGCCATCCTTGCAGAGACAATCCTGAAATGAGCAGTGATTCACCACCTCAGACTAGGGCTTTGGAGACTGATTTCTTTTCTTAAGTACTTCACCCATTCCCTGTTCCACTCTAACTGCTCAGATCCAATAGCTCATCTTTTTTGTGGCAGGTTCTTTTTGGCCATCAACTTTAACCTCAGGAAACGCTCAACAGCTCTGGAGTCAGGTACAGTAAAAGAAGACTCAGGAAGCAAGTTGTGATCATGTATTAAATAAGATAAAAATCATACTGGGAAAAGAAACACACACATCAACTATTGGAAAGTCAGTTTTTAGGTAATATTCTGGGTTTGCTATTCTTTGCCCTTTGGCTGTTCCTAGACAGAAGAGTACTCACCCAGGAGCTGTGCCACCACAGCTGTGTGCTCTAAGAAAACTCATTGCAGTTCTCAAAAGTTTGCTTTGCCTTGCTATCCTCATTATTGAGAAAAAGGGAAAAAAGGCTTTAGAGAAGTAAAGGAAGCTCATCAGTTTTCTCAGGAACATCAAAACTAACATTTCCTCAATATCCTCATACATTTTATTCTTCACCTGCCCTGGCTGGTTGGCTGTTTCACACAGTTTTTTCACTGTGAAAAAGAAATGTTTCTAGCTGTGTGCCATGTGTTCAGTTTTCCTGAATGTTCCTGGCATTTTCCCCTGGCCTATCATTATTAAATTCATGTTCCATTAATTTTACTCATCTTCCCACTAGCCAAGAAACCTTCAGCACCCACGGAAGAATTGGAAGATGCCAGCCTGCCAGCATCTGAAGACACTCCACAAGCCTTACTTGTACCTGAATCCACCGATTCTCCCCAGAAGCAGACAGAAAGAAACCCAGCACAGCTTCCCAGCCCTCCATTGCTCCCAGCTCCACCACCTAAGGCAATCTCCAAAATCACCAAGAGCATAACAGGTCAGTCATCACTGCTCAGTAAAGATTTCCCTATCCTTGATGTGCTGTCCACCTCCACAGCACTATCAAATCCTTTTCTCATGTCTGTTTTTAACCCCCAAGCTGCTGAGAATCAGGCCAGTGATAATGAGTGAGCAGTAACCACGTCTGGTTGCCTGAAAGCAATGCACTGATCTTTGTACTTCACATATTTATCTGAACCTCTCAGAGGATTATTTGTTGTGAGTCTGTAGCACTAAACACATAAAACAAATCAAACCAATTGCGAACATCTGCTGAATCCCATGCTCATATCGATATGCCATAAAATACAAGGAAGATTTAAATGTTTTCATTACCTGGACTCCCACTGGAGAACACGACAACAGCCAAACACTAGTTCAAGTCAAAGGTTCTGCAGAGGTTTCTGTCTGAAGGCTTAGCTCTCTAGGGCAGGTCTAAACTAGAGCTATGAAATCTGCTCTCGTTAACAGAACACATAAGAGTGATACACCTGGCAATCCTCTGCGCCAAACTTCGCTGAACGTTTCCAAAAGCAATTCCTCTGGGCCTGATTTTCTAATGTATTGCCAATGTTGTTACATTTCTCAACATTCTGGCACTGCAGAAAGGGTGCTAAAATGAGAATGATTTCAGTTGGTTCCAATTTCAGGGCCCCTACATATGGTAAAAGCAGTTAAAAGGGCCTTATTGCAAATGAGAATCAAGTCCTGACATCTAAATGTCAGACCTGTTGGATATTTAGACTTTTAAATGACAGCCATTATGTGAGCCCCGATTTGCATCCACACTCATCATCTGGCACAATGAGCAGGGTTTTCAAAGTCACCAGGAAACAACACATCAGAGGGGCTCTGTGACCTGACCACTGGGGCTTATAGAAAATATTGAGGTTTTCAGTCTCTGTGAAGAAACTTACAAGTATTTGTTTCCCATGGAAACAATTCATACTTTGCCTATGCTTAAGAGCTGTAATAACTCAGGTGGGAGCTGGATTCAAAATGGTATTTCAGTACTCCTCAGAAGCTGCTGTTCAGGTATTTCACTGTCCTGTGCTGTGGGTGAGGCTCGAGCCTCCCCTTTGACCCTGCAACAGGAACAGGCAGCCCCAGGCCCCCTGTGCCTTTGCTCAGCTGAGGAGAAGGCCATGTTTGGTACCAGGTGTATTTGGAAACCTGACCCACGCAGGGTATAGAGATTACACCTCCACCAAGCACTTCAGAGCATTTAGAGTTCAGACATTCTGCTGCTTAACATAAGTATTTCCTGTAGCATCTGAGATATTTTGAGTTTTGGTATTTAATTCTCACTTACATCTTCCACAAAGAACGACTTTTAATTTTCTCAATGACTCCAGTAACTCTAGACCTTTTCCAGTAGTGATTATACATGTTTATTTTTGTGGGGATGTGGGGGCAGTGCTAAGTTAAAATTAAACAAATACCGTCAGTGAGTGAGAGGAAATACAAAAAGTGTAGGGAAAGAGAAAGGGCAATTATGAAAGAAAAGGAAGATGAAGAGGTTGAAAAGCTCTTTTGTGTTTAGGTTCCCCCCCCCCCCTTAACAATGCTAGGGATGCTGTCAGCAGAGGAGTGAGGAGTAAGTCAAGGACCAATTAATCAGAGACAAGGAACAGGGCAAGGTGCCAAGACATCACTTTGCAGGATTATTCACTGAACATCTGTCATTAGGACAAATAAGGTGTGATCTCAGGAAATTCTCAATATTGTCTGAAGCTGCAATGAGGACAAAATTGGCCCTTGACCTGTTCCAGGAACAAGCTGGTGTAAAGACAAAACAAAGTCTTTTCTTTTCCTGCTTTAGGATTGAGCTGAACCCTGGGTCTTGCCCTGAGGAAACATGGACACCCTCTCTCTGCACAGAGGATGAAGTGGCTCAGGAGGTGGCTTTGTCCATCCCCTCAGGCCATGATTCAGTGGGCACTTGACGATAAATGTGCTCTGTCCATCTGCACAGTAGCAGGGAATCAAACCTCCCTTGAGTACCAAGCCCCATCTTTGCTCAGCAGAGCCTGGCTGTCTCCTGGCTGGAGCAGCCACCCTGATCAGTGCAGGAGAGTGGGAAGGTGTCTCAGACATTGCACATCAGGCACTTTGACTCTTGGAGCAATGCCCCTGAGCTTTCAGACTTTCCAGATTTTAAACAATTCTGGGCTGGTTTGAACCCTGTCTCCTGTCTGCATAGAGATGAGTAAAGCCATTGCTAAGGGTTCTGGGTTGGAGGGACACAAACATGCACAAACACCCCTCAGAGATGAAAAAAGTAATGTTAGACCTTCCTTGGAACTAGAGAGATTTTATTGTGGATGCAGCTCTCCTCACTGAAGGATGCTCTCCTCCTCATCCCACAAACAGAAAAAGAGACCAGGCTTAGTGTTGCCACACTCATATTTTCAGTGTCTGGCTTTGGTTATGATTTCAGGAGCTCTTCTTAAGCAATCTTAAGAAAATGCGTGTTTTTGGTAACCCTTATGCAGGATGCTGGCTCTGACAGGAGATATTTAATAGCTGAAATCAATATTTTTTGGCCCTCTCCAGTTTTCTAGCAAGTTACCCTGCTAACTGGAACCAAGTCCTTGTTACAGAAATACTTCTGGATAATCCTGGCCTGAGCAGAAGTTTTTCTCTGCAACGAATTGAAGGATTTATCTCAAAAGTAAGAGAAAAAACAGAAAAATTACCTGTGAAAACATGTTTGTACCAAAGCTGCGCAAGCTGTGCCAGTTTAAATTCCTGTATGAAGCACTAGGTGGCAACAAGGGACAAGAAATACTCTGGGATGAGGCGCTCTCATTGCCTTTATCCACCCTGCCAGAGCTGCTGGTGTAAACAACTCCATATGCCAGAGGTTTGGGACACGGATATAGGGAGAGGGAAAGGGGAAGAGGACTGCAGAACAGCAAAACTAATCAGCATCTTTTTCAGAGGTTTAGTTGTCCTAAGGGATACTGTGTGAAGCCTCCACATTTACAACCAAGGAAACGTCCACTGTGCTTCAGACTCAAATGCTAGGAAATGTATAAATCAGTCTAAATGAATAACTCCAATTCCAGACAAAAGGTTTACATTGCATAGAAAATAGCTGACTCTGGGGCTAAAAAGAGATTAGATTGCCCCACCCTTCTTTTTTCTTGTTAGTGCTCAATACCCCATCTCTCTTTTGGATGTCATTTGGCAAGTTTTGTTATGCAAACATTATCCTCATATTACAATGATTTTGGCATTTTCTCCACGGGCATATGAAAGACAGAGGTCTGGGCTGTGCAGCAATCACAGAGGAGCAGCTAATAGACATTGGGTACATTTTGTCCAGACTCAGAACCACAGGGCATAAATTTTAATACAGTCTGCCAGAGTCCAGCAGAGAAAATGCTAGATTGGAAAGCCACCACAGCCCAAGCCTTTGGTGGTTAGGAGCAACAGTGTGGGCAAGCAAAAATGCAGTAGTGGGCTGGGAAAAAGGAGAATCTGATCCTGTGAGAAAGAGGGGAAGTGGAAGAGGCATCTGTTTTGCTAGATTAAAGATCTGGAGTGGTGCAGCAAGAGCCTTTTGAACTCAGTTACTCAGCCAGTTACCTCACAGGAAGAGCAAAACATCACCATTTATCCTCTGTTCAATACAACAAATTAATTTCAGTGCAGACACTGTGAAAAAAAAAAAAGCAAAAAAAAAAAAAAAGCATTGCACAACCTCTTCCCCTCTTGTGTTTCGACAGCAGGAAGTGAAATGGATGATCCAGCCATGAAATCTCCTCCTTCCACCATCCTGAAGAACTATGTCATTGTCGGTTCCTCCCAAATCTCAGGACAAGCTGCCCTCTTCCACCCCTCTGGCCAGAAAAGCTCAGAGCCCCATGGCAGAGGCCAGGTAACAACGCCCACCGGTTCCCCTCACCTGGCTGCCGTTCATCTGCCTTTACCTCCCAGCAGAGTCATTGAAGAACTCCACAGGGCTCTGGCCACCAAACACCGGCAGGACAGGTACCTACAGCCTCCAGGCTACAGGGCTGCATGAGGACACTCATCCCACCACATCATTCTTCTTGGAAAATGTTCCTATCCTGTTGTTAGCGTTCTAATTGCTGCTACAGCTTGGCTTTGCCCCCTCGTGATGTCACTGCTTGGAACAAACATCCCTGGTTAAAGTGCTTAATTTGGCAGCTACTTCACTGTATGTTCTTCCTTTAGAAGGAGGCTACTGTGGCACAGGAGTAGGTTTTCAAACAGGTAGAATCAAGATAGTCCTTGATGTACTGCAGAAGAAAATCTCCCCACAAGATACTAAGTTAGAGTAGCAAATGCACATCCTGCTCCAAATACTCTACACATGAGAAATTCTGCAGTTTCTGTGTCTCCTGGCTGACACAGGAGCACATACATTTTTAACAGAAATGTTTTTGTGGGAGTACATTGGGTGCTTTATCTGGGTTTCATTATAAGCCCTGCTGTGTATCAGAGGAGGAGAGAGATAACCTTTGCCATCCCAGAGCTTTGGAGTGAAGTTGGTATCATTCCTCAGTTCCCTAACAACTACTGCCCCAGGGAACAGATTCACCTGATGTCATTTCCAGGCCCTGTTAAACCTTTCTCATGATCATACAGTATCATATGAATGGCCATATTTCATGCCATGCATGCTTTACATTAGAAATACATGTTGTTGTGGGGTTTTCAATCACCACAGTATATCTTGTGATCATATATCAAAGAAAAACATTATTCACCACTCCTCCATGTCTCATTTTAATGGCAGAGACAGGAAAGTAGATCCCCATTAGCCATTCTCCACTTGAAAATGCCATCCCGTGTTGGTCCACGCTGAACTCCCTGCCCTGCCCTTTACGAGCTACAGGACATTTTTCTCATTCTCATGTAAATTTCTACTGCAGCAATAAAACAGTCTGTGTAAAATCTGGGCTGTGCATCTTTCACCCACAGCTTCCATGGAAGAGAAAGCAAAGGCTCTCCAAAAAAAAGAGTGGATGTCCGTCCCTCGAGAACGTCGAGTATGGAGCGCAACAAAGAGAAGGAGAACTCACTGAGTTACAGCAGTGACTCGGAAAACAAGAGGAACTCAGTTAAAGAGTCAGACGAGAACAAAGAAAACATGATCATGAACTCAGAGCTCAAGGAAGAGTCTGTTTTTTATCAGGATGAGGAAGTTTTGAACGACTCTGTTATTTCTGGTAAGGAAAGTCATTGTATTACAAAGACACACTCTCACTACCAAAGGGGATGCTCTAAAAGCAGCAGAAAATATTGAGAAGGATAAATTCCTCTACTGTCACACCAACTTTTTGAAGGAATCCCTCTGAAAAGCTGAAGTTAAGTTGGAGTCACAGTGATTGTGATTGTCCTCCAGGCAGTGCACATTGAGATGTATCACTGTGCTTCACCCTCTCAGTTACAGATGCAGCCTTGGACTGCTCTGTATGATCAGGAGCACTCCCAGACATCCCTCTGTGAGCAGCCAGAGCTTTCTGTACACCCAGTGCCAGTGCTAGAGGTGTTCTGGAATTTCAGGGCTATTCCATGGAGTGATGGTACACAGAAAAGTGATAGAGACCAATCAGTCTAGGAAGGACAGACATGTAGAGAAAATATCTTAAAAGAATAAAGTTTCTCTCCATTTGGTCCTTTTTACCCCTTCTTGAGACATATGGGGAATGCATTTTATAATCCTCTGCAATTATTTAAGTGAGCTTTGGCAAAATAATCAGCTCTCATTAGAAAATTTGTCATTCAAGGTTTTTAATGTTTTCCATGTTAGCAAGACAGATTAAATCTGAAATGAATCCTTCACTCTCTTCATGAATGCATTAAAAGAAGGCAGGCAGAGAACAATTTATCAAAAAATAATTGTTATAGCAGATGAAAGATGAATTTTAAAAAGTGTCTTTGAAAGCATGAGCCAGCAGACAGGACATGAGTTCTGCTGCTGTGTCTTAAGACACCAAGTAACAGAACAGACTCCTGAGGTGAGGGAAAAGAAAAGAGTGTCTTCCCTAATTAGTGTGCATTTAAGGGTAGCTCAAAACACTAAAAACACCTTTCAAGTTGTATTTTTTCCTGGCTATGTGTGTAAAAGTGGCCTCTTTTGATAAAAATTTTAAGAGCCAGAGGCAGCCAGGCAAAAAATACATTATCCCCTACAAGCAAAACCAAATCTGAATATTTAACTATTGAAGGTGAATAATTTAACAAATGATTTAACAAATAACTATTCATTATGATGATGATAGGAGGGCACTGGTTATTGTACAAGTTTCAGTGATATCTAGAAGCAACTGTGGGCTTTCCACAATAAGTGCTTGACTTCTGGAAAATTCCTGCAGTTGAAGGACAGTGGTGGTGTACTGGGGATGGCTGAGGCCAATTGAGAAAGAACAGACCTGTTTTAAAGATGATTTTGGCATTATTGTGGCTGCAACAAGAGTGCTGCTTGGCACAGAGGATACTGAGCTCTGGGACTGATGTCCAGTTAGAGCAAGCTGGGACATTCCCAAGGCATTTCTGGTGTGGAGGCACTGCTGGTGCCAGCATTCCCTCAAGTGCACCCTGCACCTTACAGAGGTGCAGCAGCAGCAGGGACAGCACCAGAACAATTCCCTAAACATCTCCAGATTCCTTCTAGTTTGAAGAAATCTGGGCTGGTTTCCAAGTGAGAGAGTAAAACTATCCATTAATCCTGAGCTGTTTTACAGTCCCTGTGCTGCCTCAGAGTGTCACCTGCTCTGCCACTGCCACCACGACAGGGCACAGTGCCACAGCCCTGTGGCTACAGCGAGGTACAGTCAGGTCACGTAACTCTGGAAAAAGGGAGGAATGATGTCTTGGTTTTCCATTCCTAATCAATAAATCATAATTTGAAACTGCTGAAAACACAAGACAAGACGAGCTTACAAAACAACATTACTAGAACATAGCCCAAAATTGGTAACTGGTGCAATCGAGGCCTGTCCAGCATCAGGCAGTGTCAGGATTTGCTTTTGATTGATAGAACAGTGAATATGATAAAAAGAATAGTAAACATACAGGAAATTAAATGTTATGATTCCACTGAATTAAAACAGGAAGTTTTTGCCGGAACCTGCAGCCTGAACATGAAAAGGGTGTGAATTTCCCAAGCATTTCTTGTTGACCTAGCTGAGGTGTGTTAAATCACGAATCAATCCAGCCAAGATCCTGCCTGAGATAGATGGTCAGGGGGCAGACTGGCACTGAATGTGCCTGACTGACCAAGAAAATTAACCCTTAGAAAAAGAATACTTAAATAAGGATTTTTTGCAGGTTCAGTTTCTACTGAGGCAGTAATCAGGAAGGAATTTACCTCAGGGGGCTGAAGATGGATGTGGAGAAGACAGCTTGGGGCTTTCTTTTCTCTTTGTTCTCTAGTTTTGTTTTATTCCTATGCACCTATTCTCTTTTAATATTTAGATTTTGCATGTATACTTGCATTTTAACCTGTTCTGGTAAATTATGTTTCATTATAAACAGTCCACCTTCGATTGACAGAGGGAGCTGACACTGTTAATTAGGATTTTGACCCCACTTCCTTTAAAGTCAATGACAAAAATCCTATAGATTATATTACTTTCCATGGCCCCAAGGTGCCCTGCCCTGGGACAGGGCAGTGCTGCAGCTCCTGTGGACACACAGATCTTGTCCATGTGCAGTCTCTCCACAGAAACCTCCTGACATGGTCAAATTCCTCTTACGACCTCTGTAAAACACTCAGGTGAAACTGGGAGCATGTGCAGGGATACCCAGGAGTTTTCTAGCCCCCTTCAGGTTGTTTCCAGTAGGAATTCTGTTGGTTCCTCTGCACCCACTCCCAGTGTGAGAAACCCTGTCAGAGTCCCAAGTCTGTGGCTTTGTGAGCCAAATGCTTCTGGTGGAGTCGGATATTCAGTTAGCAGAAGGCTCTGTGTGGCAGCAGCCAAATCATTTAACTTCCCTACCCATCTGTTAAATGTATATCTGCTACTTCAGACAGGGCTGTGTGGTTTAATTAAATTAATGCTTGCAACAGACTGTGAGAGCATTTCAAGGAAGGTGCTAAATAAGGGCACAGCTTTTAGGCTCCAGAAAGGGGTTCTGAGCTGATTATGGTTCCTGAAAAGTTTTACTTTAGACAAATGCAGCTACTGAGAGATTTTTCACTGCTCACACAGGGAGACCAAAATTACTCTACCCCACTCTTTCCAACAGGTAAATGTGGGAAGGAAGTTGTACAGATTCCTCCCTCTGCATAAAGAAACTTGAGATCAGTAGGGATAATAAAAATGGAGGTCCACAGATCCCTAGCAAATAAAACCCCAGTATTTGGCAATGAGAATCTATTTAGGATTTAGAATCTTTAGCATCCTTTAAAAAACAGACTTTAATCCTATCTCAAATGCCAAACAAAAAATACTGAGTAGTTGTTTTCTTTAAAAATGAGGTGACCTTCTCCAGAAAAGGTGAAGCATTAAATTTAAAAACCCCAAACCCTTTAAAGCAAAAAGGAACCGAAATAAATTAACCTCCTATTACACACTCAGCTCCCAAGATGAAACAAAGATTTAACTGCAGTTCCTGCATGCACTGAGGAATGTGTTCTGTTTGCATTTGCAGTGGTTTTGTGTCTGAGCCTTGCTCAGCTCTAGTGCTGCTTTCTGACATTTATGTGTACAACTGCTCCTTGCACAGCACCACACAGACCACTGTCATTCCTGCTCTCCAGAACTTCCTGTTTCATCCCCAGGAGCTGTCTTTCTAATAACTTTCCTTTCTATGCATGTCCCAGGTACTTTGCCAAGAAAATGCAAGAAAGAACTGCTGGCAGTAAAACTACGGAACAGACCAAGTAAGCAGGAGCTGGAAGACAGGAATATTTTCCCAAGGAGAACAGATGAGGAAAGACAGGAAATCCGGCAGCAAATTGAAATGAAACTCTCAAAGTAAGTGTTGTGAAGGAGAACAGGGAGGAGGAGCCTCCCTTTACAATGGAGCATCCTCTGAGCCCTGCCACCCACCCCCAGGTCCATTGCCTGCAGGGAACCATCCACAAACCAATACAGCACATTTTCAGCTGTCAATCAGCCACAGGAGAAAAAGTCTTAACTCCCTTTTCAGTCAGGATTGCCTTGATTTCAAGGGAAAACAAGACAGAAGTCAATTTGGGAGACAAAATCCTGCCAAATCTACCTGCAGCTCTGCTGCTGCAATCAAGATTTGGAGGTCCTCCAGAAAACCCAGTGCTTTAGCAAAAATAGTAGTGTAATTATTTATCAACTTGATTTGGTTTTATCAGCTCTAGCAGAATGTGAGGATAAAAGCAATTGTTAGAGCTGCATATTTACTTGCCCAAGGGAAAGCTGCTGCACAGGTGGCTGCACCGGTGCCTTAAGGCAGAAGCAGCATTGCCCTCACCTGGGGAAGGTGCCTGTGTAAGTCCAGCTGCAGGCACAGCAGGGATGCTCTGGTTTTGATCAGTAACCAGGGCAACAGGGAAGAGCTGTGAGAGAAGCATCATCGGTGTGGTGTGCAGCCTTAAGCAAAGATTGAAGGTAACAGGGAAGCTCAGACTGCATCATTTGGGTTTTGTGTGTGCTTTTCTAAGAGCTGCATTTGGATATCTGCAAACATGAATATTTTAGAGGAGACAAAGTGGATTGTTAAATAATCTGTGCTGGGCTGTCCGCACGGGGACAGCGAGCGCTGCTCACCGCCAAAATGCTTGGGATCAAATTGGGAAACATGAATAGAAGTTCATTTTCAAGGCTTATTAAATATTAAATATCTCAAGCCTCTCCTGAAAGAAACATTTATTGATATTTAGACTAAGTCATTCATGTGCATGCTTTTGATTAAACTTTACCTCCAGGGACAGGGAATGAGAACAAATGTGTGGATCAGAGCAGAAGTCTTAATGGACCAGAGTTTATGGAGGGGAACACCTCTGCCTTCACCACTCCTGCCCTCAGCTAAGGAACGAGCTGCTGAGGGAACACAGAGGTGGTTTGGGGTGCCCTTCGTGGTGCCCCTGCAGCAGCAGAGATGGAGTTGTGGTCCCTCCACCGTCTCGGTGACTGCACAGCAGCACTTTGCACCCAAAGGGGAACATTGCTTTGTGCCAGGGGCTGCACAACTCAGTGCAGGCAGCAGACCCTGCCTCAGAAAACATACAGCATCCACATGGGGAGAAAAGATGCCCCTACAATGTACATTGAGTTCCAAGAGCAACAGACAGAGCAGATCATAGGTGTGTCCCATTAATACCCATCACCTCAGGAAGCAAAGATGGGCCTCAATCATCCTGACCCTGCAAGCCTTGTGCATGCCTTTCAGGGAAATACTTCACATTGCACCCCAATATAATTAATTCCATTATTTTGTCCATTCAATAACTCATGAGAACTCTTCATATATCAGGAGCCTAATCTGATTGCTTTAAAATACACAAAAAATGGTTTCCATCCCACTCCATCCCTGAAACCAAGCTCAACCATTACGAACTATTCACTGAAGGAGAAGACTGTCATATCCAGCCCCATCTCATATTGCTGAAGTGCCTAGAAGATCACATCTCTTTTCAGCCCTGCCTGACTTCCCTTAGTGTGAAAGCTGTGATGAATTTCAGCAGCTTCAGGTGCTGTAACTACAGCCTTTATCCTTTTATTTTCATTTACCATTTTTCTTGCTTAATCATGAGCCTAAAGAAATACTGTAAGGGATGCATCCCTAGAGTCAAATGTCAGTACAAGGACTTGCAGAGGACATGCTGGACAGGTGAGAGGGGCTGGTCATCACCACGAGGCAGGAAATTTGCTGTGTGTAGGTGAACGCAGCTGAGGGAGCGCCTCCCCTGCCTGCTGTGATCTCATGCAGCAATCTGGGGTGCAGCCCATCAGTGTCACTGGTGAAGTCTACAGGATGGCTAAAAGCCATCTTTGTTCCAAGTGTTGGAAGCCAGGCCTTAATTTGGTTCCTTCTTCCTGGAATGTGGAAGATTGAGCGCATTTCGGGGAACAGACGGTGCAGAGATTGCTGGAATAGCCAGGAAAGGCAAAACAGATTGGGAGCAGACTCCCACACAACTTCCAGCACATATGGGCTGGCAGTGCTCAGCTCAGCTCTTAACTCATCCACCAGAATAGAACATGACTGTGCAAACAAACTCAGGTGGTGGATGTATGCAGGAAAATATTTACAACACCAGGAAAAAGCAAGCGGGTGTCCAAAAACTCAACAGCCAACCAAAAGAGTAAAAATCAGTTCTGGCAAAGGCCAGAGAGCCAAAGCCCCAGAGATATCCCTTGGGAGTTTCTGACTAGGTCTCACCCCATGAAACCCAGGCCACCCCAGAGCCCACACTCAGAGCAGAGGCTGGCTGTGGTGTGGAAATGAAACCAAACTGGGAAGAGCCAAATTCTTGGATGAGCTTTTGAGGTGTTTACACTCATTCATATCACTGGTACTTGTGCAGCACAGTCTCTGTGTGACAACTTGGAGGTTTGTAGCTAAGGAATGTGGAGCTGGGGTGGGAACTGCTGCCTTGGGAGATGAGATCCAGTAGAAATGTCTGTTCTCTGCAGGGCTTTGCCACTACCTATGCAGAAAAGAGCAGCGCATTGCTGCTGCTGCTGCAATAGTAACACTTAGATAACAGCAAACCATGAATCCGTGTACCATCAGGCTATAGATCTGTGTTTAGCACAAAGAATGATCTATGGGCAGATTAGCAAGTAGTTATTCAATGGCTGACTGCATAAGAATGGCACATAACCAGGCAGTTGTTAACAGCGTTGATATTTTTCAGCACAGTTGCAGGGGGATAGTCTGTAGCTGTCTAGCAAATTGCCTCAGCCCACAGCTAACACAGCCTCACTCTCTACTCCGGAGGAAAAGGTGTACTAACATAGATAATGTGCAAAATACACCAAATAATGGTGTTTATATAGCTTTAAAGATGAGGAGACAAAAGAATAGCATCCTCTCAAAACCGCTGTATTATTGAAGTGGGTCTGGTTGTAACACATTTCAACAGTAGCTGTGAACCTGCTGAGAAAAGCAGCTCTTATCACTCTGATGGATGTTTATGAAGTCAAAGCTAAAACCCCTATTTTCCTTTACTTTCCCACTCATTCCATCTCAAAAGAGAGATTGGTAAATTCTGTATTTTGAGACAAATTCTACTTTTACAGCAGCGCAAATCTACCGTCTTCAGATTTATTATTGACTGACAGCAGCATGAAGAGAGATTCCAGGATTCATTTATGTGCATCGCTGCTTTTGAAAAGTGTATTTCCTGTATTTCGTGCTCCCAGGCAATTTAATCTACCACTTGTTGCCGTGGAAACATGGGCTTTTCCCTCCTCCTCCCTCCAAAATGGCAGTATTCCAGTTTTCCTTATGCTGTAGTAGCTTCTCTTACTAATCCACGTATCCCCAGTGCCCCAGAGCATGGTTTACACTTGGAATACTCTACTGTGCATTAGGCAACAGGGCTCCCAACAGGTCTTGGTTCCATTATTATGTGTTCAGAGCACAGATAATAAGCCCTCGATGGAATTCAGTGAATTAAGAGCTCTTTGTGTCACGAGGCAGAAAAGACATTTGCGAGTGCAATTGTTTGCAATATCTGCTTCCTGTCTCACAGACACACTTTGCTCTAGAAGGGGTATCAGCTGAAACCTGGGGGAGTGAAAGACTTGCTAGACTGAAGGTAAAGGTTTAATTAAATTTGATATGTGACTGTTCAGAAAATTGATGTTTGAAGTGGCTGTGCAGCTCGTGCTTCTTGAGAATATAACCACAATTAAAGACACTCCAGTATAACTTAATGTCTCAATGAAAATACCAGTTCCTGGAAAAGATTATACTTGTAATATTCACTTCATGTCTTGCTTTACCTCCTCTGGTATTTGTACAAGTACACATGACGTATGAAGTGGCACTTAAAAGATGATGGGGACAGGAATTAAATACAGAAATGTGGGCAGAGGAGTCAGACAGGAAGAGCAAAGGGTTTGTGAAAACAGAAAGGAACCAAAACTTGAGCACCTAAAGCTGATCTTTACCACTTTGAAAACATTGGCTTGGGTAAGTGGATGATGCTGGGCCAAGGTTTCCTGGCAACAAAAATGAAGAGGAGGCATCTTTATTCAGTTGTTACCACACCTGGAATCTGTAGTTGTGCTGCTGCCCTGAGGTTCCTGGAGAAGGATTTTCAAGTTGACTCACCCAGGAACTGCAGATGTAGCTGAAAGCACACACAGATGAGACCCTGGCTTGTCTCACAGGTAACAGAGTGTGGAGTTCACAGTGCTGCTGGACACAGAACAATACCAAGCAAAAACACTTCAGACTGGCAGCCTAAAAGCAGAACAGCAGCACAGCTCTGCACAGAGCACTCATGAAGACTATTTCACTGACAACACAAAAGCTGTACCATGTTTCCCAAGGACAGCACATCCAGTGCCACTCCTCCACAGAAGCATCTCAGGCAGCTTTGCTCACTGAAAAGGCATCAGGCTTCAGACTGAGACAATCAGCGGGAGCTGGGCTGAATGCACAGAAGCACAGAATTTTGGGGAACGTTTTGTTTAGATTGACCACAAAAAGTGGTGTGTGGGTACTTGTACAAACTACTGGTAGCCCTAATGCAGAAGTTAAGGAGATGCTGAACTGAGCCCAGCCTAAGCTCACCTTAGGCTCAGCTAAGCTCACCATTCTTTTGATGAATCTCCCAGTCACCAGACTAAAAACCAGGGAACTGCCCTAATTTCAGAAGGCAGGGAAGACTTGACACAGATTCATTCCAGAGACAGAAAGGCAGGGGGGCAAGTACAAAGATCAGATCAGCTGTCAGCACTAATTAGCTGTGCACAATTTAATGCATTTCATTACTGGGCAGGAACCATCCAGGTAACCATCTCGCTGATGCTAAAAATAATCC